AATTACCTAAACCCGTTTCCGGTTACCAAACAAAGAAGAAGACAAACGGAAAAGTGACAAGGCTCGTTTTTCGGCGTGAGGCGGCAAGCGGAGCGCGGGCGCCGCGCCAGGGGCTATGTGATGGTCTTAGGCCTGCGGTTGAGAGGGCGGTTGCGGTTGCGGGCAATGTCGGCGTAGCGATTGGTCTTGGGCGGCGGGCGCGGCTTGTTCTCGTTGTTGGCGCAGATAGGGATGTGGCGCTCGGCGGCCTGGCGCGAGAACTTGCGGGTGCAATGCGGGCAGGGGACGAGCGAGGAGGACGAGGACGAGGGCGACGGCGGCGGCAGGTCCGACAACTTGCCGCCGGCCTTTTCAAAGGCGGTCACCTCCTTGGCATTGCGGACAAGGGCGATGAACTCGGCGTGCTGCTCGCGCCACTTTGTGGACTTTTCGGCGGCGAGGAGGTCGCGGCGTCGCTCTTGTAGAAGCGGGCCGCTTCGGTGCCGGCGAGGCGGACCTTGGTGCCGGAGAGCGGCTTGCGGGCCTTGGACGCCTTGCGGCACGCAGTCTCGTGCTTCTCGATGCGGTGCGGCGCAAAGGTCCGTCCGCAGATGCTGCACGCCTGCAGCTGGTCGGCTGGCGGCGGAGGAGCATAGGCTTCCGGGTCGAGGCCACTTGCGGGCGTGCCCTGAGGCTTGGCGGCGGCGACAGGCCGCTCGTCGTGGGCGGTTGTGGCAGGGGTGGCGAGCGGGCGAGCGGGCTCGGGCGGGCTGCGAGTCTCGGGAGCCGGTTGGCGCTGGCGTTGGCGCTGGCGCGGCTGCTGCGGCGAGGCCGGCGCTGGGTGCGGATCTTCGCGGGCCGGCGCCGGGCCGCGGGACGGCTGCGTTGTTGGCCGCGAGCTCGCCGGGCGCGGGTTGCCGCCAGTGGCGTTAAAGACCTTGCGCTTGGTGGAGAAGACTGACTGGCAGACCTTCTCGTGGCGGGCGAGCGACTGAGCATTGAACTTGCGGCCGCAGTTGTTGCACGGATAGAGCGAGATGGGGCTGTCCGGCTCTGCATAGCGGGCGGGATTGTAGCCGGCGTCGCCAGAGCTGTCATCGTCGGTGTAGGTGTAGCTGTCGTCGTCATCACCGTCGTCGACACCGTCACCAAAGGCGTTAGTAGACAGAGTGTCGCCATCGTCGTCACCGTCGTCTTCAGAGACGGAGGGGAGAGAGCTGTCGTTGGTAGGGCGGGTGGCGTAGTTGTCGGCGTCAAAGGTGGAGTTGTAGCCCGTGTCAAAGGTGGCGCTCAAGTCGTCGGCGTTGGACGTCTCGTGCTCGTACTCAAAGTCCGGTGCGTAGACGCGAGCCGGCGGAGTGGAGGCGGCCGGCGACGGACTGGCCAAACCAACGTTCACCGGTTGTGTCGGGGCGGAGAACGGGTTGGAGGCCGAGGACGACGGCGCCGACGACGGTGGCGGCGAAAAGTGGCGAGGGCGATTGCGGGAGGCCGGCGGCGGTGAGGCTGCCGGCGAGGCGTCTGGCGAGCGCGACGGCGCCAGCGGTCCTGCGCTGCTCGAGTGAAAGGAGGCGGATCGGACAGGCGCAGCCGAAGAGAGCGACGAGTGGCGGACAAAGGCGTCCCAGGCGGCGTCGCCAACGCGACGGCGCGACGCAGTGCGACCGACGGTCACGCCTGGACCAATCGATGCAGAGAGCGACGGCACAGGCTGGGCGACCGAGCCCGAGACTCTGCGGCGCGGATAGTTCTCGGACCAAGGCATGGCAGCCGGAACCGAGCCTTGGCGCGAGACCGAGGCCGGGCGAGGGCGGTGGGAGCCCGGGTCGGGCTTGGGCGAGGACGATGACTTTTCGGTGGCGGCGCGGGTCTGTGAGCGCGAGCGCGAGCCCATCTCCCACGGCAATCGGCGTGGGGTCTTAGGCCGGAGCGTGCGCTCGCGCGGAGCTGACGAGATACGGCGGCGGCGTGGAGGCTGCGACGCTGCAGTGTCAGCGGTGGTCTCCGGCGAGATGCGCTCGACCGCCGGACGAGTCGCTGATGAGTCGTGGGGGTGGATAGCGAGCGGGGCGCGAGAAACCGAGCCCGGCCGGGCGACCTTGGCGGAGCGGACGCGGCGCGGGCGCATGTCAGCGGCCTCGGGCGAGGGCGCAAGGAAGGGCAGCTGCGGAAGACCGTTGCGACCAAGGACTGCGAGCTTGTCGGCCGGGGCCATGCAGCGGTCCTGGACGGCGTGAAGGGTGGCAGCGTCGGCCTTGGTGGTAAGCATGCGCAGTATTTCGTTGCCACGGGTCCGAGACTCCATGAGAGCAAAAGCCTCGAGAGTGAGGACAGCGACGCGCTCGTGCGGGTCAGCCAGGAGCTTGGCGAGCGAGTTGACAAGGACGCGAAAGTCAAAGGTGTAGTCGGAAAAGGTGAGCATGGCGGCAATGACAATGTCGACGATGTCGCAGCGGACGCGCCATGACTTGTGGTCGAGCTGCTTGAGGAGGTAGGCAAGGATGGGCTTGGGCGTGACGATGGCCATGAGCCGCATCATGATGGCCATGACAGTGGTGCGGATGACGAGCTTGGAGTCGCCGAGCTTGTTGAAGAGCGAGACGAGGACACCCGGGACATGGGTGTTGATGTGAAAGCCGGCCCGATGCACCAATTCGGAGAGCGACTCGAGAGTGGTGAGTGCAATGGTAAAATTGGCGTCGTGCAGGAGCGGGCCGGTGAGGACGCGGATTAGCGGGCCCAGATGCGGGAGCAGGGTGGTGACGTCGGCGACGTTGGCAAGCGCGTGTTTCAGCTGCTCGAGCGCCGAGGCACGGGTCTGCCAGTCGTCGACGTTTTCAAGGGCAGCGACAACCGAATCGGGGACGAGACCAAATGCAAGGTCCGGAGTAGCAGGGCGTCGTGGCGAGGCCGGAGCTGTGGCCGGCGGCGAAGAGACGTCGGGCTGCGGCTGCTGTGGGGCAACGGCGGATGGAGCCGGGGCAAGCTCGACCGACGAGCCCGAGGCATTGAGCGAGGCAACCGAGCCGAGCGGGGCACGCGGGAGTGAGAGCGCCTGATGGTCGGTGTAGGCCTTGCGCTGTTGCGGAGTGAGTCGGCGGAGGTGAGCGTCAAAGCCCGACTTGAGCTCGAGGCGAAGGTGGTAGAGAGCTTGCTCGGCAGCCTCAATGACGTCGTCCGAGCCGTCGGTGAGGCGGCCGATGAGGGCCTGGATGAGCTGGACAAAATCGATGGCAGGGTTGTAGCCGACGACAAGAGCAGGGATGGCGAGCGCGGTCTCTAGGCGCACGCGTAGATCCGAGTTGAGCAAGCCGTGGCGGACGAGCGCAGTGACGACGTTCTTGCCAACAGCCTCGTAGGCTGAATCGAGCATAAGCGCGGAGAGCGCCTGGAGTGACTCTTTGCGGATGAGGATCTTGGAGTCGCCAAGGTTGTGGACAATGTTCGGGAGGGCGACGGCGAGAAAGCCCGGCAGGGCGCGCGACGGAAGGCCGGCGACAAGCTCGGAGACCATGAGCGTGGTCTGGTGAGCCACGTTCCAGGACGGATCGCAAAGGCGTGCTTTGATGAGCGAGTACAGCTCTTTTGGGCGCGAGAAGACAAAGTGAGCGCCGTGCTCAGGCTGGTCGGCGACCTCGCGGAGCATAGAGCGGAGCATCTCGATGCCTTCGGAGCGGCGGAGGTAGGATGCGTCCTCTAGCAGGACGAGAAGCTGCGACTCGCGCTCGGAGGAGAAGCCCCCGGCACGGGATGAGCCCGTGGCGACCGAGGCTGCGGACGAGTTTCGCGCCAGGCGGGTGCTTGACGACGTGGCCGAGAGTGAGCCCGAAGCGGGTGTCCGGGTGGCCGAGCCAGCCGAGCGACGCACGGGGTGGGCAGAGCGTGGCGCGTCGTTGGAGGAGGAGGCAGACGAGACGGAGCGACCACCAATGCCGAGCGAGGATGCCAGGTCATTCATGTATGTCGGCGAGTTGCTGTTGGTCTTGCCGTTGTGCGACAAGGTGGAGCCGGCCATGCGGTCGGTCCGCGACGAGGGGCGGGCCCGTCCCGAACCTGCTGGCCCCCATAGGCCTGAGGCCTGGACCGTTGTCCTGAAAAGGACATACAGGATGGAGCAAGAGACAAGGAGAAGGGTGGGGGTGGGGGTGGGGGTTCGGCGTGGGGTGTGCTGCGGCCCTTAGGGTCTGCGGTGTGTGCCTTGTGCGTGTGTGTGGCTCGGCGTGAAAATGGCCGAAGCGGGGCCAGGCGATTCGCGGGTCGGCAGCGGGTCGACAATGCCGACAGGGAGCAGGGCGGGCGTTGACTGATGGGTTATCGATGGTTGTGGAGATGCAGGGGAGTGGAATAATAAGGCGAGATGGTTGCTGTAGGAATGATGGATGTGTGTGGGTGATGGTTTGCTCCAGTGCCATGCGGTGGAATGTTCGTCGGAATGATGAGCGAGGCCGTGGGCTGGCGAGCAAGAAGCGCAACTCGGACTGAACGGCGACGACGGAAGGCTATTGGGGAACGTGTTGGACAAGACGCAACTTGCGAGCACAAGTGGTGGCGCCGTTCAAGGGTTCGTGGAACATGGATCCGCGGGCGGAGGCAGGTGTGGGCGGAGATGGGGATGTCCGTGCATCGTCGGGATCGGCTGGCTGGGCCGGAAGGGTTGGCGCCGCTTGCGCCTCGGCTGGACGGGTACGTGGTGAAGGGGAGGCCGATGAGGGTGGTGCTGGACACTCACTTTGGCGGAGTGGT